AAAAAAAGTGCACAGGGTACATTCAAGTACTCAATGAGTACAATCCAAACCAACAAAAAAAAGTTAGATTTTTCAAACTTCGATGCCAACTTCACATAGCTGCGTAGATCCGCGAGGAAAAAAGGAGTGGAAAAAAAATTAGGGAAGACATCGACGTGTCCCTGACATCTCAATAATTTAGAAAAATTCGAGAAGGGCGCGTTCCGTTGAAAAAGGGATGAAAAATATTGTTGATATTTTTTTATATTGTTTTCCGAATAATAAATATTTGCGAAATATTTATTATTGCTGATAATTATTTATACTGCATTAAATTTCTCTTCTTAGATAAATTGATCGCATAATTATTGATTCTTTGAGTTTCCTCTCTTTTACAGAGAAAAATTGGAATATCATTGAATCTCTAATGGGAGACGAATTTCAATCGATAATATTATAGCATATTCCATTTGGATATTTTATTATTTACTGGAGATCCTCACCAAACAAATTGTATTCCTAGGTCCCTCCAGTTTCTCATTATCCACACCCTCCAATCTTAACTTGACCCGGGGAAAATTAAGTCACGACCGCGGGTAATTGAACATTTCACCTATCGTCACACGTGGAAACTTAGTTTTGGGTGGTGGGTTGAGAGGTTATTCGGCAGTGGGAGATGGTCAAACACCTCGTGGGACTGCGGATCAAATTTCGTGAATGCTCACTGAGTCCAGTGCTGAGGGAATATTCTATGCATACGAAAGACGACAATGCTTGTTCGAAAATTAAGATTACCCGGGAGAGAGTGTATGGTTTGACTCAGGTGGGTGGGTGGGGGGGTTGTTTGGAGTGTTCTTGCGATTCTCGGCAACATCGCGGACAGGGGACCGATAAACCGTGTGCACAGGCATCCCAGGTAGACACGATAAAGGCTGACGATGGAGTCAAGCCTGCACAAGGCTTGGCTTGGCAAGGCTGAGCGTCGGAGGCCTGAGAGAAGGCTGAACTCGTTGTTCCATTCAGCCTTGAATGAAAGATTCGTCAGCAGGCCTCCTCTCAGGTTCATTTCAAGTCTCGCTCAGACGTTCAATTTTCAGGCTGATTTCTTAAGGCTGATTCAAGACTGGGTAATCTCTAAATTCTTCAATTATTTTTTTTAAGCATTTTGAACATTAGAGTTCAATTTGCAATTTCTTGGAGTATATTTTTATTTTACCTGGTTTTTCATTTCAATAAATTCTGTAGCTCATCTGTTGACTAATTCGAGATCGATTTCCTATACATACTATAATTATATACATACTATACATTAGTTTGACATAACCTAATCGTTCGTTGGCAGCCGAAAATTCTTCCGAAGTTATAATTTCTTAAATCAAGTTCTTTGTATACAACTATTACAATACATAAGTATAGAATGGCTACGCGTAAAAGTTCGTCGTATCCACGAGTGAAAAAACATCGATATTTAATGCGTCAGCATGATTTAGTGAGTGATGCAGAATCCGTTAATAACGATGCTAATATGCTCCAAAATGCCGATGACGCATGTGGATTTCTTGAAGTTAATTTAGAAAATGATGGAGTTAATGATCAAATTTGTCAACGAGAAGAATCTGACAGTTGTGAATCCAGTGATGGTGATAGTTTAAGTACATTTAGACATAGTGATGATGAACAACACCAAGAAAATTGGGGAGCTACAGAGGAGACAGATAGTGATACAGGCGATGATGGATGTCTAGTAAATGCACCATTGAATTTAAAAGAAGATCTGAAAAATTGGGCCATACGCAATATCAGTAACGCAGACAACAAGTCGGTTAGTGAACTTTTAAAATTATTGCGACTGCATGGTCATGCAGATCTTCCTTCAACTGCAAAAAAACTATTAGGTTATGCTCAGCGTATTGACAGTTGTCCTATGGTGTCAAAAAAAAATACTAATGGTAAATACATCTATTTAGGAGTACAGAATGGACTAATTAAAAGACTTAGATTGGGAGTTTACGATGAGCCCGAGGTACGTGTCATAGTGCATATTGATGGAATGACGATTTATCAAAATACCAAGCAACAATTATGGCCAATCATTGGGAAAATTTTTCATAATGATTATAAGTCCGTGCCGTTCATAGTCAGTTTATATTATGGTGATGCTAAGCCAAAATTTGTAGAGAATTTTTTATATGATTTTGTACAAGAATCGAAAAAACTAACAGAACAAGGATTGGTAGTGAATGGTAAACAATATTCTTTCAAGATAGCTGCAATTATTGCGGATGGTCCTGCAAGAGCATACATAAGATGCACTAAAGGTCCTGGAGGATTTTCATCGTGTGAGCGCTGCATAGTTCCAGGGGTTACAGTTAATCAAAAGCGAGTTTATCCAGAAACAAACCTTCCAAAACGGACGAAAGAGAGTTTTGTTACTCGTGCCGATAAGGAGCATCAACCAACTGATTTTAAAAGCCCTCTATTAGAAATACCAGGCCTTGATCCTATAAAGGATTTTCCACTGGAAATTATGCATTTGCTATTCCTCAACCTCATGAAGAATTTGCTCAGCTATTGGGTCCGCAGTCTTCGATCAAGTAAATTGAACGCTTTCAAAACTCTCATGAAAAATATCACACGATGGGTACCAGCTGAATTTCAGCGGAAACAATTTGATATTAGTGATGATGGCCGCTGGAAGGCAACACAGTGTTCATTTATGCTTCTTTATGTTGGTGCGATTGTTCTAAAGTTCATATTACCCAGGGATGAATACCATCATTTTTTACACTTGCACATTGCTTGCCGGATCCTCTGCAGTACTGAGCTAGTGATGGACTCAATGCATTGTGATCGAGCCGAAAAGTATTTAAAAACATTTGTCAACTGTATGCCAACTTATTATGGTGAAGATTCACAGGTTGGGCATGTTCATGCTACTATACACATTCCCGATGACGCTAGGTATTTTAAAACATCTCTGAGCAATTTATCTGCGTCTTTCGGGGAAAACTTTATTGGGAAATTAAAATCACTTGTGACGGCAAGGAACGAGCCATTGGCTCAAATAGTGAATCGGTCAAATGCTCAAGAGGATTCTGAGTCGATCATGAAGCTCAAAAAAAGAGAAGTACTGAGTGAATGTGTTTTAAAGAAAAAACTTCAATATTATGAGAGAAATGGACATCAACACTTGAAGCTTGACTCAGTTAAGTATCATGATATGATAATTGCTGATGAAGCTCCAAATAATGTCGCACAGCTTCATAATGGAAGAATCTTGTGGATTACGAACATTTTTATGAGGGCAGAACACAAAAAGAATGTTCAGTCCCCAGAGGACATATTCATTGAGGGGTGTATTGATGATGATCGCGATCATGTATTCACCACCCCTTGTCCTTCAGCAGAAGTAGGCGTTTTAAAAATTAAATTGTTGAACAACAAAAAATTATTCAAACTTGCTGATATTAAAAGCAAGTGTGTATTTCTCGAAATTGAAGATGAATTCTATACATTATCTCTGCTTCACGCCGACTGTTAACCATTCAAAAAACTTAACAATAACTGTATCTAAATAAAACTCTATCTAATATAACTATTATACTATAATTTTTATATTACTATAATTTTTTTTTCTATCATTAAATTAATAGCGAGGTGAATCTTTCCTTTATGTGGTGTCCTAAGATTCATACTGACTAAAGGATGGATATTTTTTTTGTGATATCGAGGGTAGATTAACTTGTTAATTATTATTGAAAAATTGTAGTTGATGTGTGGATGAAAAAAAAAACGATGCTACCGTGCATTGGACTTCTTTTTGAAGAAAGCCAGAAAGAGGAGGGAGAGGAAAAGTCGACGATGGCGCCCTCAATTAGTGTTAAGCTATTATACGTCCTATCCAATAATACTTCGAACAACAATTAGTGATTGATGTGAACATTAGAAATTTGAGCGTTTGCGTAAACTCGTGTTTTTTTCCTTTGTATAAGGCTGGGTGAGTGGCATCGAGTGCATCATTGTGTTGAATAGAGGGACCCGGCGTTTTGCCGGTGGAGGTTAGTTAGCAGTGGGGATACCGCAATAAGCATTTCCGGTGTAATTTTATGCAACCGTTTGTGTTATAAGTTTGTTAAAAATTATAGAAAGAAAAAGTTTTGAATATCGTCATCTTAATGCAGCGTGGTGAGTAAAATCCGTTTATATATTATGCAGTAATGCAACTCAATCCCAGACGTTATATAACCGTTATACTATAACGCGACGCCAAATGGCGGGACGTTGAGGTTAGAAGTATTAGCACGTGTTACATACTCATACGAGATATACGATCAACTCAAAGAACGAATTTTTTAGGTGAAACGGTTCTTTCCACCAATATAACGGTACAAATATAAAGAGTGAAGCTTTCATCTGGCAAATTGAGTAATATAAGTACAATGAGTGATGAGTCGACGCCTAAATTCGCGATTGTGCATTTCTTCAAAGAAAAAACGGATGAAGACAAACAAGTTGTAGAACTATTGCCAGGATTGTGGCTACGAAAAGTAGAAGGAGAATGGACATGTTACTGGCCACCTGCAAAAGACAACAAGTATATTCTAAAATGGGTGAGAGATGAAAAAATTCCCCAAGATGACTGGATCATGTGTGACGAATTGAAAATTCTTGGCTGGGCTGGTATGAATTGTTTATATTTGCAGGTTTTTCAGAATCCAGATTTTTTCTGTTTTCGGTTTCATTTTATCCTTCATAATTTTTTAGATGACTATGAATCTGGGTTGCGTCGAGTAAACAGAGCCCTTATTCAAGCCGAAAATATTGTTACCGAGTCTGACAAGGAGAGTGTACGAAGCACAGTCTCTAGAATATCTAGGAAGAGAGCGAGAGAGCTTATGAAGATCAGCAGCAAAAGAGAAAATTCTACAGACTCAAGTAGCGATGACTCGGCCCCATTCATGAAGAAGCCAAAGACAAGAAAATTAATGAAACAAAAGACTAAACGTTCTCGAATGCTTTTAAACCATGACAGTGAGTCAGAAATTGAGATTTCCAAGGTGCAACGAGATGGAAAACCTGAACACTCGGATGATTCAACCTCGACCCTTGAAAATGATTCGCTGCTATTGAAAAAAAATGACGTGAAGTCAAGTCAGTATGATTTTCGACGTCATTTATCTGCAAATTCACTCATTCACTGTGTTTTTTTTTACATTGTGTGTGTTTTAGAGATAAATAAGACACGTAAACGATCCTCGAGTCCAACCAATCATTGCGACAAGACCCCAAAAAGCAGTGCATTCAAGGCCAGCTATTTCTCTCACTTAAACAGAAGTCCACAAAAAATCAGTCCTCAAATTCGAGTAGGATCTGGTCTCTCTCATAATCCAGCGGAGATTTTGCGAGAAATAAAAAATAAGCGAGAAGAATGTGCTCAGGATAGTGGAGGATGTTCAAAAGAGAATACTACCAACAGGGATATATCTTTCACCACCCCAAAGTCACGTTATTCTGATCTATCTGGATATGGATCTCTTGTGAAAAGTAATAAAGATTTTTTTTAATTTTTTTGTAACTTTTTAAACTCTATTTTTCAAATTTATGCTATATCGAACTTACAATATTGCAGATGCTTATACTAAGGCTCGTTGGAGAGAGCAAGCTGCACAACTGGAGGAGCTTCGTAATGCAATTACTGATCCTGAATTAGGTAATTTTTTAATTAGTCATATCCTAGAAATTGATAACATTTTCTGTGAATTTTAGGAGCGGTTACGGATTTTTTAGCTGCGAAACTTGATTTTCGCATGGACATTCTGGGAAACAAGATTGACAATGCCAAAAGGAGTATGAACTATGATTTTAAAGCTGGAGTCGACAGATTGGCCGTTGCCAAAGTGAGTCAATCAACACATGAATTCACATCCTGGAATGACATTTTTGGAGTCAATTTACCATTAAAAACTGTGGACGACTTTGATAAATTCGAAGAATCATTGAACCAATCAATTCAAACTGATGCTGAGAAACAGAAAGAAGCTAAGGAAAAACAGAATATTTTGGTGAGAAACGTGATAATCTTTGTCTGACAATGTTTTTTATACGGCAAAATAACAAAAATTTGTCGATTCACTAATTTTGAGGTCTTTCTTTTTATTTTGCAGAGAAAAAAATTCACAAGCCAAATTGCACAGTACACTGATTACATGAAGTGTATTAAAAATATTATTGATAGCGTTATTCAGAGGGACGTACAATTATTGTACAGTGGTATGGGAAGAGTTTGCAAAAATGTTCAAGTCAAACGACCCTTCAATAAGACCGTTTGTTTCCAATGTATGACTGGTGAGTAATTTTTTTTGAATACTCGACCATCGTCAACATACGTGGTGAAATATTTCAAGTAATAAAATTCCGTTTTTTCAGACGTAATGCTCATAAAATTCCCTGTACCACCAATACCAATCCTTACTGCTACCAGTAACTATTTAAGTGGCGCAGCCAATCGAAAAGGAAGCTCAGTTGTCAGTGGAGCCCTGATGAGTTAAAAGTATATATTCAGTGAAAATTAAAAAATTCTCTCTTTACGTTCACGAATGGAATTACTTTTTTATTTCCCAAATGTATCGTTAAATAACGAAACTATACAAACTATACCACTATATCGAAACTAGATGAATTTGAAATAAGGTGGCCTGAAATCGAGCTTAATATAGGCTGAAACAAGCCTCAGGTAACCCTCGCTATGTGCGTCCTATTATCAGAAGAAAAGACTCATCGAGGCTTTTCTCGGGCCTTGCATTTTTGTTCTTCAAGGCTTCCGGGAACCCACCCTGGGAGCCTTGCGACAGGCTTTGCTTCGGAGGCCTTGAACGCTGTTATCATTTTAGGGCTTAAGGAGGGCTGGTCCTGGCGTGGACTGCAGCCCTGCTTGAGCATTTCTGAGCCTTGGGTCAGGGCTTCGTGAGCCCTGTTCGCGTCGTCGATGTCTACCTGGGATGAAACGAGTATTGCGAACTTGTGGTTAGCCAACTTTAATTTTGTGTTTGGAAAAAAAAAAATATTTCACCTGTCTCACGTTGGAAAATTGGCCAAAATCTCGTGATTCATGGCGACAGGGAAACAAGTCAACTCTCCCGCCTGATTTAATTCAATTTTTCCCGCATTAAAACGAGAAAAAAAAACTTCATTTATCAATTGAGTTGAAAAATAAATCGGGATTACGGAAAAAATTAATGAGAAGGGAGAATTCATTGTCGCGATCAAAGCCGCGGAAATGGAAAATTGTCGACTCCTCCACATCAATCCATCGGGCGACATATTAAATTTTTTTTGGTAATGTTAAGAGCTTATTTCCCTTAATTTCCTTTGAAATATTAAGGGAAAAACTGATGGACCGAGTAGCGCACGACAAAAGCCTCGGCGCAAGAATAAAAGAGAATTTTCGTTTCATGGCGAATGGGTGACGTGAAAAAAATTGTTTCATTTGCCTCTTCATCCGCATTTTCGTCGCGCTGAAAAATAACGAAAAAGCAACAGCGGAAGCCCTCATTTACATCGTTTCCATTTTCCTCATTTTTTTTTTTTGCATTTCAGTGGTACATTCAAATTGAAAACGCCCAGTACCCAATTTTCCAACTTTCCACCCGCCATTCCCCACGACTCCTTGAGCTCGGGAAAACATTGGGTTTGAATTCCATCGAGAAGTGGGTAGCCCGGGTAGCTAATTTATGCACTTGGCGTACCTGATTCATCGTCGAAGTTTCCCCCGATGCCCTGCGTTTAATTTAAACTCCCCAGGGTTGAACGCCAACGGTTAAGGTTGTTACGGCTTCATACTTGACAGTACGCACCGAGTCAAGCCTTTCAGAAATTTTTGTGAAAAGAAATCGTTTAAGTTCACTTCAATATTTCCATTTGCCCGTCAGTTTGTATTCACGGAGATTTTCCCACAATAATGAGTTTTTTCAACGACTTCAGCGGCAATCAAATTCGAAAAGAAAAAAAAACTCAAATGAATGAAGAAAATGTTTCAGTGGAAATTTCAAAAAAAAAAAAATGAAATATAATTGCTCCATTTGCCTCTGGGCAATAACTCGGGAATGCACAATCGGGTACATCGTGGAATATAAAATTTTGGCCCTCAAATTTTCGAAAATAAACGCGGATGGGATTGAAATTACATCGGCATTTATGTCCGGGTCGCAGGTCGGTTTTATCTGAGCTCGGGGTTAACTGCTAACCAATTTGACCGAGCTATTGATTCATTCACTGTGGAAATTAATCGATGCAGTCGCTCCCAGCGATCGTAAAGATAACTCTGCTATTTTTTTTCATTTGCAGTGGATGGAGGAAAAAAAAAATAAACGAAAATATTCTGTGACGTTCTGCTTTTCGATTTTTATCCCGATATATCCGGTATTGAACTCAAGCTTTTGCTACACGTTGCATATCGTCACCGAGTGAAAAATTCAAATCAGTCCATGCTCAACCTATTAAAAATGAAGAATGATAAATCCTAAAAAGGAGATTCTCGGAATTAGGTTGATGTCTTTAGGAAGAATGACGAATAATTGAGGCACGAATAGACAGATAGATGGATAGGCTACACACGTGATAAGACCAGGGAAAACAGAAAAATATGATAAAAAATTGGGAAAGATATGTGGGTAGATTTATGGTCGGTGCACGCGGTGGGCGTTATGAGCCATTTGCCAACTATTGTTTTCGGAAAAAATAGCGGTGGTAAAGCTCCCTGTAACGTCAATAGGCTAGTCCCGTGTTAGCGATCCATAACGCAATTTTTTTCCGTCGACCTTTGCCCTCGGAAAAATGTTCATAGCTGCTGTCCTCTCATACGTTATCATCGTAGAAACTACAATATCATTATAATGTGGTACGCTCATTTGATATTCCCAGACTCGCCAGCCAAAAAATTTCATTCCTGTTTTCATAGTATTTTTTTGGGGAGGAGATTCAAACGGAGAAATCCAATCCAAAACGGTTGCGCCTGTTTTCCTTCAATATTTATTCAAGTGGTGGATCGTGGCTTCCAATATTTAGATTTTATTCATTTTAAATAGATACGGTCACTGACTCAATGGAAATTTCGTCTTCTCTGATTGGTTACTTCAAAATTAAATTCTCACGGAAAAACTTTGGAGTAATTACTTGATGAGTCATTTATTGTTATAATTTTCGTGTGAATTTTAGAATAATTATTCACCGGAGAGATAAAATTTCAGAATTTTTGCGGAAAATTATACTGTGCATCGTAAATTTTCCGAGGGTAGCGCGAAAAATTCTCCCTCACGGCAGTAAACTTTCACGTGAGTCGATGATAATTTCTATTGACCCTAGCCTCATGTAAACATAATTGGGAGATAGATTTCCATCGATTTTTCCAGGAAACTGAAATAGCCGTGAATTTTTAACCGGATGAAAAAAAAAAATCAAACGAAAAAGTTCCACCAGTGAAATTTTCCCGAATATCATTTCTCCGTCCATCAAGAATTTATTTCCACTAGATTGTCCATCGACTGATCGCCAGAATGATGCGAATTTACGATCCCGAGACACGTAGTTCGATAAAATAAAAATCGTTACTCAAATCGTAAAAGAGGACACGAAGCAGAAGGGAATTATTGAAGATCCGCAATGGCGGAGCTTTTTTAAATATTTCAGAGTTCCTTTGTGACTGCGGGCGTCGTTGAAGCCGACATTAGCCATAAAATTCCGTGGGATAAGATTGCCGTAGACTTAGGTTTCCCGCAATTCTCATATTTTCCCGGCAAATCCCTCCCGTTGGATTGTAGTCATCCTTAACGTACAAGGAATTAAAGAAGAATTATTCAGCGCTTCCCGCTCCCCTCCATTTTTTATCCCGGCCAAAAAAAAAAATAAATAAATAAAACCCGTTGAGAACAAACACGTAACATCGGATGCCCGCGGGAAATTCCTCGCATAAAACAATCACGACTACTTTTTCTAATGAAGAAACATCCAAGAAAGGGTGCAATCAAGTAATGAGAATGAAAAGCAGCGACTATTCATCCGAAAATGCTGGCAAACAGGGGCACGGGGGGGTGGGGTGAAATAAAAAAAAAATGACGATGAATTGCCGGATGCTGTGCACGGGGAGCTCCATCCATCGCAATGAGTGGGAGAGCAATAATAACGCCAACTTTTAAACACATAAAAGAAGAGATGCCGAGTGACGTAGAACACTGGAGAGCCGAATTCAACTGGCGAAGCGTGGAAAGACTGTTCGAAAGAAACAGAGGAACGGAAAACAGTTAGGAAACTAAGTGAGTTCTTCACAAACTAGTGGCCGAATGGTCTCTCCCACCCGTTGAGCTTTTTTTTTTTCTCTTCTCTCTTTTGAACGACTGCTCTTCCGCCTCAGAGGGTGGAATATCCCTCCTCACCCACTTACCACCCACTGCCACCCATTTTTCAGCCCTCCTCCCGTTCACCAGCGGCTGGGCTTTATCGTCTGCTAATAGCGAAATAAAATCTGCACCAAGCGAAATCACAGAGGAGTTGGGATATCACTCGCTAGTATATACAGCAGGTACACTCATTGCAACCACCTCCTTCCGAAATACACCCCCTACCCCTCCCACAACCGGAAAACTCGGTACAAACTTTGTACACCACATTATACCAGTCGAGTTTTGTATTGGAATAGTGTAGCTTCCAGTTTTGTGGTTATGTCGAAAAACTAAAGTTTTCGTCTCATTGATTTGGACTCTGGGAATTTTAGGGGAACGATTGGAAATTTTTTCTCATGATTTTAATGCTTGTGGGTTATTGAGGGAAATCCTACGGGGGGAGGGGAATTAATTAAAACAGAATTCAACGGAGAAATAGGGTATTTTAATCTCTGTTATCTGCTCGTTTCGGTGCTCTTCATCACTGAAATTTTCCATGAGAGGTCTATTGAAAATTCTATCAATTACGGGGGTCATTATTTTTGGAAACAACAATATGGGGGAGTGATTAATCAAATGGGGAATAATGAACGTGTGCTGTTTGTTCGATGAATTGACAAACAATGGGGGAATTCGGGTCGACGGGTCTCGAGGAGAGTCGAGAGGTTTGTCATAATTGTTTATTTGGTTTTGACGGATGTGGGGTAGTGGTTTTTTTTTTTTTTTTGGGATATGTTTAGGGTTGAAGTTTTTGAAATTGAAAAAAATCTACCTCGGGTGGTCATTTAACATTGAAAGCAAATTCCCGGAGTTTTATGGGGGAAATATCGGGATAACGAGGAGGATAAGGTTCAACAACTGGTACAACCGGGAACACCTGCGCGTATCCATTCTGATACTAAAAACTCGAGTGCCTGAGGGATGGGGATCGGTGTACCTTGGACTCTGGAGATTAAAGGGTGAGGGGGTTGACGTGCACTCGTATAAATCGGGTTGGCATTTGGTACTGATATCCTGAAGAAAATCCACCCTGACCACCGACAACTGAACTCCTCTGCCCAGAGAAATTCAGAATTTAGGAAAAAATAACTCATAACTCGCGTAATTGACGAATTCAATTCCTCGA